ATTTGTTTTTACCACACTCGCTTGGGCGCAGCAGCCACTCGCTGCAATCTGCCATGCGCCTTCTCAACGCAACAACAGCAACAACTGGGAAACCTCTAAAGCTGCTGTCTGCCTCGACCCCAGGCAGCAGCTCCTCAGTAAACCACGTCATTTCCAGGCATCAATAGAAAGAGAACAGGCTAATCATCCAGGACCGAACTTCCGGAATGCGTTTTCTTGTCGACAACGGCTCTATTATCTCCATTCTACCCATGTCAGGAGGTGGCTCAAGGAGCCAAACAGACCTTCATCTTTTTGCAGCAAACGGCACACCAATCCGTTCTTGTGGATGCAAAATCCTGCTGCTAGATCTCGGACTCCGCAGAACCTTTTTTTGGTCTTTTGTCCTGGCTGATGTCAAGTTCCCCATTATAGGAGCAGACATCCTATCCCATTACATTACACAATTTGCTGCCTGACCTCAAAAAGAGAAAACTTCTGTACGAAACAACATTTCTTTCGACTTCCAGATGCTTAACCTGTACACCAATCCTTTCAATCGAGGCCATGTCTTCAATAACCTCAATCTCTGCTTCAGCTGGCACAAACGATATCATCGTTAAGCTAATGGAAGAGAATTTCAAAAGATTTCTCGTTGCCGATGGACTTGTAATGGGATCGACCACAGCTACGCAACATCATATTGTCATCGTAGGCCCCCGTGTCTATTCGAGGCCTCGATAAATGTTTGGACTCAAATTGAAAGCTGCCAAGGCAGAGTATGCTGATCTACTCCAAATAGGCATCATAAGGTCCTTCAGTAGCCCTTATGCCAGCCCAATTCATATCATCAAATCAAAGTCGGGAAAGCTAAGACCAACAGGAGACTACAGGAATCTGAATGCACAAACCGTGCCTGACCGTTACCCAACGAATCCATGATCATCTTCAACTTCACGGAAAAGCGATTTTCTCTACCTTAGACTTGAAGAGAGCCTATTTCCAAATCCTTGTTGCCCCTGAGGATGTACCAAAAACAGCCATAACCATCACTTTTGGTCTATTCGTGTCAATTCCACCGGATTCAGTCCCCCACCAGAAAAAATAGAGGCCATCTTCGAAATCCCAAAACCTAAGACAGTGCTCGAGCTCAAGAATTTCCTTGGGGCCTTGAACTATTTCCGTGCGTTAATCTCTCATGCAGCTGAAGCTCGGTCTCTCCTCATCGAGAACGCTAAATCGCAAAAAAGTGCGCCAAAACTCCAGTAATTTGGACACCGTAGCTATCAGAAGCTTTCAAAGAAGCTAAAAAGTACTTGGCGGAGCAACCTCCTCGGCCTGTCTTCAGCGAGATGCTTCCTTCGTTGTCACTGCTGATGCCTCGTCAACCGCTATTGGCGGGTCTTTGGAACAGCATGTTGGTGGTAAATGTCTTCCTCTAGGTTTCTTCTCCAGAAGACTTACCGGCAGAAAAAAACTGCAGTCCATACGACCGTGAGCTCTTAGCAATCTTTGCCTCTTTAAAGTACTTCGTCCATTTGGTGGAAGGCAGATCATTCAACATCCAAACTGACCACAAGCTTTTGGTGAAGACTTTCCTGCAACGGCCAGAGAAAGCCTCCCCCAGGCAACTTCATCAGCTAGACTACATCGGACAATTCTGCACTTCGATAATCCATATTCCGAGCCATGAAAATGTTGTAGCGGATGCTCTTTCAAGAATATGTACAATTAACATGCCTTCTAGACTTAATGCCAAGTCAATTAGCGAGGCGCAAAATAACGCTGCTCCCTTTATCCAAGAAGAGAATGTAGCTTCTATCAGCCTACAAACCTTGGAAATTGATGGTCACAAACTCATGTGCGATGTCTCTTCTGGGACTGTCCGCCCATTCCTGCCTCCTTCTCTCATAGTCAGACGCATAGCCTTTGAAGTAGTCCATGAACCCGCGCACCCCAGCGAAAGAGAAACGGCCCGTAAACTCAAAGAGAAATTCATCTGGCCAGGTATCCGCAAGGACGCGCTCACCTGGTCGCGCGAGTACCTTGCATGCCAAAAAGCGAAAATTCATCGCCACACAAGGAATCAACCAACCAGTAGAAGCGTTCTGGAATCCCGTTTCAGTCACGTCCACCTGGACCTGATCACTTTGCTATTAGTAAACGGTTACAAATGTTGCATAACCATAATAGATAGATTCACAAGTTGGCCACAAGCAATCCCGTTAAAGAATATGCTAGCTGAATCGGTGGCAAGTGCCTTCTACTTGGGATTAATCTCCATTTTTGGCACTCCCCTCACCATTACGACGGACCAGGGAGCGTAGTTTGAATCGGCTTTATTCAGATCGCTCGCCAGATTAATCAGCGCCACACGCCTAAGAACAACATCCTATCATTCTCAGCCAAATGGGATGATCGAGAGAGAGAGCACGGGACCATTAAGGCTGCCCTGCTGTGTCAGCCTAACTATCCTTGGATAGATTCGTTGCCTACAGAGAATATTTAGAGTGCCAGGAAAATGTTTTTCACTCAAAATCAAGGAGTAGACCTGGTAACATTTCTGGACCACTTGAACGGGCACTTCAGAGTCATCAGGCCAACCCCCACGTCGCACCACATCAAACCGAAACACTTTATGCATGGTGACTTACGAACGTGCTCTCATATCTTCAAGCTTGCAGCTCCGGTGAAACCACTTCTAACGTCTCCCTATTCAGGTCCTCACAAAGTCATTGAGAGACTGGATGATCTACGCTACACGATAGATGTGGACGGAGCACCGTAAACCATCTCCACTGCCAATCTAAATCCAGCCTATTTGACAACAGAGGAACCGTTGGCAACCCAACCTCGCGATCATTCTCGTTCAAAAGTAGTATCTTTCCAGCTTCCAGCACCAGCAGTCTCGCCGAATAAAAGCCTAACTCCCTAGAGAGAAGCTGAGTCAGACAACACTAGCCCAGTAACAAGGATCAGGACCTTGAACTCTACAGACATACCTCATTTTCAGGTTTCTTCCAGGAAGGGAGTGGCTGTGAAGACCACCCCAAATTGCATAGGGCAAGAGCTCATTTTAGATACCCCTAGCGCCGGAGGAGGCCCACTCTCTTTCTTGCTAATTTGCCCCGCTTGGAACGCGTATGGCAGAAGGACGGGTGCATTTCTTTCGTGGCCGTAGAAAGTTTTTTTGCTGATCCGAGAAGTCTAACTCGGTAGTTTAAGTGGTTAATTATCAACAGTGTGATTGTACACGGCTCTAAATTAAAGTGCCTTTCAAGAAATCCACAATTGTTGTATTGTCATTTTCAACCGATCTTCCTAGTTCGTGCAAGAAACGGTAGGTCAAGTGCGTATGGCGACACTTTGTCTAGCCCGCTTTATTAATACAAGAATCTAACAGATACAATAAATAGCGTGAGATGAAGAAGGTGCTGTCAGAGCGAAAGAGCACACAGTTCCGATGCCTCGGGAACAAGAATAGCTCTCACGGCGATGTTGCCGAGTCGACGATTTGAGGGCAGTGAGTGCATAGCAGTACCCCATAGGTGATTGCTACTGTCTCTGCTAACAAGTTCGGGTACACACGAAATCGATGAAAGATGATGACGACGATCGAACTAAATCGTGCAGAGAAATGAGCAGGTTGTGCTAGGTAACGAAACACAGATGACTTACTACTCGATGGTTCAGATTCTCGAGCGACACTGACTTTCTCAAGCGCGCCTGGTTTTTGTGAGAAAAAATGGTGAAAAGCAAAAGAATCATAACTTTGTATTCTTGCTTCTTTATGCCTCTTTGGGGCCTAAGCAGTGATTAGGAGAGATTAAAATGATAAAAACTTCACATAGTCTGTGCGGACTCGTAACTACCTCAGGGGACGTAAGCTTTAAGGTTTTTTTAGTTCCACGTAATAGTGGACAATTATTTGGGATTTTCCTAACACGTGCTGAACAGACTAATTAGGAACTGAGATGACTGAGTGAGAGAAAGAAAAACATAAGGGAAACGTAAGTCAATGAAAAAAATACCAGCAAACTGGTGCAAGATAGGCGGGCACGACGCTGCAACAGTGCCTACGCGGCAATGTTTAAGCATCCATAATTTTTGTTCTTATGAATGGTACTAAAATTTTCTTACAGATAATAAAAACTTATGAAATTTCGAATAAAAAAAATTGTTGTCTTGTTTAGCCTAGAAGTTAAAAATTCAATTGTTTATTGTAAAATAATTTTTTTATAAATAATATGTTGTTCTTTTGAAATATTTTTATTAAACTGTTATGTTTACATCTGAAAATATCTGTATTAAATTTTATCTATTTTTATTTTTTTATTTCTGAGATATCGTCATTTTAACGAAATGACGTGAAAAATTCATTTGTTTATAACTTTTATAGAAAAAAAAATTGTTCTTAAATATTTCGGAATTGTTTTCAAAAATATAGTTCTTTAGAAACATGCAAACAAACGTATAAAATTCAAGTAGTCGATTTTAGTTGGCCCACGTGAGAAAATTTGACTCCAAATAATCGCTGAAATTAAATCAGAAATATTTTTGAATACTTGCTTTATATAATACAAGAAAAGAGCTACAAAATGGTTTTTTTTTTTAATTTTATTTTACTATTTTTTTTTCTCGAAATGGCGAGCAGCTAAGGATACGACAAAAATTTCGTAAATTTCCTTTTGATTTTTGTCTCGCTATAGGCAAGAAATTATTTTAACATAATTTTAATATAACTCATTTGAAAGGGTTTGAAAAGATCTTTCCAATGAACTGCCGCAGAGTTCTATAGGTTCATTTCCAGCAGTGATATGGAGCTTCAAAGTTATAGTCGGTTTGTTCTCGGGTGAGAAAAATTATTGGGCGGGAGTGTATATTATGAATGACCTGTTATATGTAAAAATTTGATGACTTATGGAAACTGCGGAAATTTGAACGAACATTGAAGAATTTACTATTATATTTACAGTAGTTCGAATCCATTATTCCAAGTTAATACAAACAATTATACTTACCAATGAAAAGAAAAAAAATTAGTAGACCAAGTTCTCTCATTGAAGCTTTTAACGTTCTTCCAAGTATTTGTAAACCTTTACTGTGTCTGGATAGTTTAAATATTCGAAACACTCTAACTAATCTGATGACCCTGAGAATTGCAAGTGACATTGCTTGGTTCGTACTCTTATCTTGTGGACTAACAGGTGCTTTTGGCAAATTCAATGTATCCTCCTCTTCGGCTACTACCGTAGCTAATGTAATAAAGTAAGGTATTATAGCGATTATATCAATAATATTCATCACGTCTCGGAAGAAATTCAACTTATTTGGACAAGCCAGGAAGCGCACTGATAATTCAAATGTGAACCATATGATACATATGGTTTCTATGAGGAAAAATGGATCAGTTATGTCTGGCACTTCATCTTCTTCAATTTTTGTGCCGTTAGTGGTAGTATTAAACACCCTGTAATGCTTAAACTCCGGTAGAGTTTCTAAGCAGAATATAACTATGGATAATAAGATTACAAATACTGAAATTATGGCTACGATTCGTGCTCCTTGTGAACTTTCAGGGTATTCAAATAATAACCAGACTTTTCTTTGAAATTCATGCGACGGCAGAGGTTTCTCTTCCTCTTTAATAAACCCTTCATCTTCTCTGAAACAAGATAATAAGTTAGTATTTCTTAAAAATTCACATATATATTACAAACTAATTATAATATATGCTGTGACGGTAAACGTCAAATTAGCGCTGATTATCTAATTTAATTGCTGCCTGTGAGGGCAGCACCTGCCGGGAGGACGAAATTCGTAACTAAGGAATTCGGCACGCGAGTAGACGGAACGCGCGCGATTGAATTCGAACCAGTGAAGCTTAGACCATCATTGTGTCCGCCCGCTTTCGTTATCGTTATCGCCTATTGACGAGCCATCAACGTCAACGCATCAAAACAGCAGCAGCAGCCAGTTATCCGAAATTGTAGCCGCTAAGGTGCCATCCAGCTACCAGTTTGGAGCCAGGCCGAGTGTGTGTGTGAGGTTTCGCCATCGAGGGCGAAACCATAACGTGCGCGAACTCGCGACTCGCGAAATAGACTGTAACGGGGGCAGCGCCTTATTCGGCACTGACGTCACTAATTTATTAAGGGGAGAGTAAGAGAGGCACTTTCGCTCTTTAACAATCGGGGAACGAGAGGATAGGTCGAACGAATAAATAATTTTCTTTGCTTGGAACGTACAACTTAAATCTATTCAGACAAACAAATACAAAATCAGTTACAATAACGTTTACATCACGCGCACATATACAGAACAACTTAAACTAACGCGGGAGGACGAATGGCCCGGCGACTAAATCGCCTTGGCCATTTACCTCCTTACAAAGGAAAGAATACGTTGAAACCTCTCTACCGCATTACGATGAGCGTAGCCGGCAAGTGATCGCCTGGCTACCTATCGTTCCTACGCGAACGCGCATCACCATGAGAGAGAGAAACACCGGGGGAGAGAGATAACCTGACCTTTGTCCTTGGCGATGAGCCGGCAACGGGGAGTTGACCTGGCCGCTGGCTGGATGTCTTCCTCGGCATAGCCCGTGGTGAATCCCCTGGAAGTCATGCCGTGCATGGCGGCGAGGGCGACACTGAATGCCCTGCTGCAGGTGTTGCCTCCACACGTTGCCTCGGCTCGCCCTGGTCTGGTCACTGCTGCTCGTGTACTTCTTCTCTCATTGCGCTGCTACTTCCAACTTCTCTCCTCAACTTTCTTTCGGGAACTACCTCACTCTAGTAAGGCTCGGCTGCGACTCTCTCACGCACTAATTCTTGCGCGCATCTTGCAGTCGCTCAGCGGCGATCCTCTCCCTACCTTGACCTATTAGTTAGGCGGCACGCGACGCGTCGCTTATCGGTAACGCGTTGCGCGCCTGCCAATCCCTGCATAGGCCTAATACTCTCTTTCTCTCTCTCTCTCTTTCTCACTCTCTCTCTCTGTCTCTCTCTCTCTCTCTCTCTCTCTCTCTCTGTCTCTCTCTACCTCATAGTCGCTGCGCTCTTGTTTCTTCGGGCGCTCTCAATCTTGCTCGGCAATCTTCGGCGGCTGGAAAAACATAAAGGCCAGTGGTTAGGCGCAATAAATATATGCGCCGAACGCTGACCACGTCGCCATGCCGAGCGATAAGAGGGAGAGAAAGAAGAAGGGCAGACGAAGAGCAAGCGTACTGCTTGCTCTCGTCACAAGACAATAGAAACTGTTCCGCTCTGTGCGAGTTATTTGTGTTTTCTCCGATCGCCTGCAAATATAAGGTAAGCTGGCCAGCTTAATTTCGCGATCGCGATTACATGATTGATAACTAATTTCCGATATCCGAAGCGTGCGTGTAACGGCTCTGACAACAAAGAGCAGCGAGCGTCCCGGCAATACGTGTTGCCGACGAGCGAGCGTCAATGTAAACAAACGCGCGGGCCGACCTTCTGTAGATTATGAGGAATAATAAAAGATCTAGTTCGTATTACTAACAAGTGCTTTTCGATTCACTTATACCTCATAGCTTCCACTCACTTTCCTTAGATAAGAGGACTTACTGGTTGACTGACGCACGTTTCCACATGCTCCCCGATTTACGTACTGAGCATAATTGACTACGCGCGTCCTTTTAGTGTAATTGCGCGAATAAAATAATTAAACGGTTTCACCCCGTTACATAGCGCCCAACGTTAAAGAACCTATGGTGTTTTTGATTGTTCAAAACACCGGTTCTCAATAGTGACCTCGCGCCCAGTCAACCAGCGACTTAGGTGGCAGTCAAGTGTTGTTGTGCACACTTGACACCGAAGGCCACGTTAGTAAACAAAGCCTGTTAGCTAGCTTGCGAAGGCCCGCCGCGGCGAAAAATTGTAAATAATAGCTGTGAATGCGTGCGAGTGCGACCGAAAGATTCTCAAGCGTAAACACCAACGAATTTTGAAAGTTGCCGCAAATAATATTATTATACCCGTTGGCCCGGGGAAAACTAACACCGGCAATTTTCAAACAAAATTAATTCAATTGAATAATTTTATTTGACATCGTATTGTCTTAACGTAAATGTGTTTTTTTTTTAATATTATTAACGGAGGTTATTGGTGATTACGCGCAACGCTCGCCACAATATTTTAGATACTAACTCACACAGCCGTACTAACAAACAGTTAGTGCGTCTGATAGGCAGGATAATTATATTGCGTATTAACGAGCGAAGAATCTGTCGGCAAACAAATCGTAAAACGCCTTTGATCAAGCCCAGTGTTGGCTAACAAAATTTTTTATTTTTTCATTCGGCGTACGAATTGTTATACAACACTCGCACTCGCGTAACATACCTGTATTTTTACAAAGAAATCCAACGCAAGTAAACAAACAGACAATCATGGACCGTACTCAGACAGAGATAGAAAATTGGGTATGGACGCTCCAGGAGGAGGAAATCGAAGAATACCTCGACCAACTGGAGCTCAAAACAAGCGGGATCAAGCTCTCGAGAGCTGCACGACTGCACAACTGGCTACTCGGCGACTATTCCGCAGCAGATTTCGCGGAAGTCGACAACCAACACAGCAGTCCAGCCAAAAGAGCCGCCCTACGCTCGGATCTAATTGTATCCCTATGCCAGGAACACACAGCATCCGAGCAGGAAGGAGAACACCCGCTAGCCCAACTATTACAAAGTGCGGACGTAATATCGCGAGTTCAGAAAACCGCGATAAACATCGCGAATGCCCTGGACAGCGGAGAAAACGCAAATAGTAAGAAGGAAATTACTATAACGGCTGACGATGGCAGCCAGTTCAAACTCCCGCCGGCATTCGCGGTGATGATTCAAGACGTCATTTTCCGGTCCAGAGAACATGAGAGGAAATGGGAGGTACAAGACTCACGGAATTCGAATACGTCTAACCTAACCCAAATAGTAGAACAAATCGTTAGGACCAACATCAAGGTACAGGAACAAATCGACAACCTGTCAACCAGGATGAAGGAACTGGAAAATGCCGTACACAGAGATATGCGGCAAGACGAGTCGAACAGTTCCAATGAGGAACCACAACCGGAAAACACGCGTAGGAGCGTCGCATTCCAGGATACATTCACCTGCCACTATGACGCCAGGCTACCCCAGAGCACTCCAGCCGGACTCGGACTGAGGCCCACGGGGGCCGCCGGCAGGACCCCCCGCCGGACGCCCCCTTTCGGAGAGGGTGGACAGCATCAACTCGGTGGAGTTAATGCTGAAGTGGACAACCACCCGCCGAACATGTGGTCATCCCATCAGACGTCAAACCCGTGGTCGACAACAAAGGCCGCATCGTCCGGGGATGGAAACTCAGGTTCTCCGGAGAAGGCAACGCGAGTATTGACCCCTTCTTATCAAGGTTGGACAACTCGAGGAGCAGCGCTGGACTTACGGAAGACGAGATGCTCATGGCCGTATCTGAGCTACTCGTCGGTCCTGCCCTCGTCTGGTTCGAAGCAATGCGAAACGAATGGTTCTCCTACGCGGATTTCGAGGCAGACGCCAGAGCATGGTTTGGGCCCAGCAGGCAACAGCAGCAGCGTCTAACCAAAGAGGTTCAAGGCCGATACCAGGGCCCAGACGAACCCGCGAACGTATACATCGCGAACATGATGGGCCTAATGAGTCGGCTGAACCCCAGAATGACGCACGAGAGCCAGCTGGACCTGCTACATGCCAACCTCCTACCGGAAATCCAGAGCCAAATACGGAGATCAGAGGTGGACTCCGTACGGACCCTAAACGACCTGGCCACGACGGCCCAGAATAACTTGCATCAGAGAAGGATGGAGCGGACGATACCAGACCCTCAGTCGACTTTGTATCCTGAGTTGGCGTATCACCCCCGCACCGACGCGAGCAAGGGTCGTAAGGGGAAGGTGGCGTCTATGTCCGGTGACAAACCGGAAGTCAGTGATAGATTGGACCGCATGGAAAAGGTACTCGAGAAGGTGACGCACCAGGTCGTCTACACACCGACGCCCTCGGGGGCGACACCTAATCCGAGCCTAGAATCGGTCGATGGCGAGAAGAAGGTTCTACCCACCGACGTATTCAACCAAATGCTGTTGTCCCTTAAGGAAATATCGGCGGAAATGTAGAATAACCGCGCCGACAAAAGCTCGACTTCCGAGGACCAAACTAAAAGGCCGGAAACTCCCCGCAAACGAGGAAGAGAGTTCTCAGGGCCGATCAAATGTGCCGAGTGCGGCCTACTGGGTTACTACAGAAAGTTCTGTCCCCAATGCAATAAGGGAAACGAGCAAAGGAGTGGATAGGTGGGGTTGATCCCACTCCTTCATCCAGTAACCCAAACCCCGTCAAAGAGATCTCGCAGCCTCCGCCAACACAGTCCACGCCGTTAGTAGCGAGCGTGTTGGGCGTCGAGAACGAGAACTCCCTTAGTGACGCCAAAGATAAGCGTGGCGGTAGAGTGCATGTGGAGAATGAGGGTAATGACGTTAACAGAGCCAGAGACCCTAAACCAGCCGAGGCGGTGACGTATGGATCGCACACGCCCTCGGGGGCACGGGCAAAGGCGGATAAATCGTCGAAGAATAACCCCAAGGAAACTCCGCTCGTCCGAACCAAAGGGGCGCGGACGA